GGTCCGGGACTCGAACCGCGGTCGACTACGTGGGAGTCCAGCGACATAGCCATTACGCTAACTGCTGGTCCCCTCAGAACATTGTTTTAATTACCTAGTACTGAATAAGCTTCTTAATTATAATTCTTCAAAACAATAAACATACTATAGCAGAATTTTACTGGGCCTAAATTATCAATGTATCTTAGTGAATAATGAGGTAATTTTGGTCATTCCAAAATCAAGACAATTTTGGAAGATGTTAACTCATTCAGAAGCCTAGTAGACTGGAAAATCTACTGATAATGGAGCCAGCCCAGTGGTCTATTGGTTAAGGGGGCTGGAGCCCACATGGCCAACAGTGATTCAGATCTCAGCCTCAGACTGAAACACGTGCCCGGTGCATTTATGTGCATGCCAAATCTTGACAAGATGGAGGAATCGAGGAGAAAAGATTGTGATGTGAACACACCCCATTGGGGTAGGGAGCTAGGTTTCCCTCTCCCTGTTTCTCTGTCTCTCTGACCAGTGTACCTGTCCTCTGTCAAATTTTTAAAAAACTACTAATAATGAAAACAACTTATTTTATGTCACTGTCTTCAACTTCTTCCTTATCACTTTCTACCAACAAAGATAACATGCAGCATGATGGTTTTAAACAGTTTTTGCCCCTGTTTTTATTACCACATTATTTTAAGTGAATGGAGTATGGGCTTCAAAAAGGTGAAGAATATATGTTCTAATCCACCTACTAATGGGCTATTTTTAGTATAATAGTCCAGTAATTTTAGGGTAATGACAAGAATACTATAAGAATTATTACAACTTCTAATAATGTCTGGTTATCACTAGAGAGTCATTTAAGCAACTGCCCCGATCATAATACAGTCCAATAAAATCTACAGCAATCGAAACCCATTAGGTCATTTAATAACGGTATAAGCTACAGCCAATTTCTAATTATTCATAATTGCTGGAGCCATGAATAGCCAGGTACAAATTAGCACTTCCATGTGTTAAGCACTTAATATAGAGTATAGTTTTTAATATGCCCCAAAATCTTAGGAAGTTGGCATTATTATTCCCATTAACATAAAGACAGTAAAGGCTTGAGGAGGTTTTTTCCAGCTTCAAGGTCAAGGTAGGTACCAGAGCTATGATTTAAACTGGGTCCATCTGAAGTCAATGATAATGTGCTGACTCCCACTTCCTTCTAAACAAAATACAATTCAAAACTACCATATTGGACAACA